TCGTAAACCCCCGCCTCTGTTCAAAGATGGTCGCTCACAGTGGACATAGATGGCTTCTTTCACTCCTCTTTCAAACCATCTGTCCTCTCTGTCCAAAATGTGAACATTGGCATCCTCGAAAGAGTGACCTTTGACCTTTAGATGCAGATGGACTTAACAATGTGGTGTATGCTGTACAGTGCAGCGAGGAATGCTCAGACCTCTACATTGGAGAGACCAAACAGCCACTTCACAAGCGCATGGCACAACACAGAAGAGCCACCTCCACAGGACAAGACTCAGCAGTCCATCTGCATCTTAAGGATAAAGGACACTCTTTCGAGGATGCCAATGTTCACATTTTGGACAGAGAGGACAGATGGTTTGAAAGAGGAGTGAAAGAAGCCATTTATGTCCACTGTGAGCGACCATCTTTGAACAGAGGCGGGGGTTTACGACACCAACTCTCTGCCATCTATAATACAGTTTTGAGATCCCTTCCCAGACGCCTTAACGCCCACTCACATCCTGGGCCATCTGACCTCAGGAATTCACATGATAAGGTGGGGCCAGGTTTCACAATGAACACACCCGAAACTCTGGCTGATTGGGGCCCACGCCCAGTTTCCCACCTTGGCTCAGGCGATTAGAGGATCATCAGGGGGTCCTTTTGTCCCTCTGTGGGGGGATACTCCCACTAGGTTTATATCTGGGACTCTCCACCATTTGACCTTAGAACTGAAGAAGCTTCTCGGATGAGAGGTGAAACGTCTTCAAGCCACTTAAAGAAGTCCAGACGCTTTTCTTTGCAAGCTCCTTTGACTACGATGACCTGGATGACTGAGAACCTTCACAGACAGACTGATAATATAGTGTCCTTTAGGCCAATGATCCGCATGTGGCCGAGAAACTTTGTCTCCCAAAGTTCGTAACTGTTTTCGTCTCTGTTGAAAACTAACCTCTGCCATCTTCCTCCTGTTGTATCACGCCTGGGCCCATAACCTGTTGAGCTCGAAGAGTTTTCTTCTTCTTCGGTCATGTTCTCTTAATAATGCACACACTTGGTGGGTGATTACTTTTCCCGTTTCTTTAATTGTTAACAACACAGGAGGGAAAACCATACATTACTTCAGCAGTTCGCGCTTCGGAACAACAGGAACAGGAAGTGAAGTAATCTATAATCACCACAATAAAATTATTTGCAAAATAAAATGACAATCAGAAAACGTTTTTCACAACATAAAATAAATTAATATATTTACTCATGAGAACACAAATCTAACACAGACTTCCAGAAAATTATTATATGTGTTTTGTAGCAATTACCATTCTGAACAAAACTGTAGTTTGTGCAGCAGAGCTATAGAAGAGAAGAGGAAGAGCCAAACAACGCAATTACTGGGTCCGGCTCTGATGTGCAGTTGTACATATCAGAGAACAATTTAAAGATATCCAGCCAGTAATTATACAATTTGAGGCATGTCCAAAATTGATGCATAAGACAGCCTTCTTCAAGTTTACAACGATCACGTATCGGACCAATAGAAGGAAAAATCCTCTGCAATTTATGACCTGGATGACTGAGAACCTTCACAGACACTCTGCAATTTAGTTTTTGGATATTGAAGACTGTGAAGCACTTTGAATTGAAATTACTGGTGTTTATAGAGCAAGAGTGGATCCTACACAGATTCCCCTCTCACACCTCATCTCCAATTTGCAAACCCAACTCTTCCTCCGATGCCGTCTTCAAACAGTCAGATTTAAAATTCAAATATCCTGAAAAAGTGTTCACAAAGCCAGAAACCAACTTTTTAGAACCCGGGAAACCAAAGAAATGAAAAAATTGGTCCCTCTTCCTGAAAAGATAATTAAATTTTGTGTTGTACAGTTATTTCATTTTTAACCTTAATTTTTTATATTTTATTCCTTCCTAGTTAAATTTACACTTTAATTTTTCATATTTATTTCCTATCTTATTCATAGCCCTTTCCATTTTTTTTTCTTTAGGTCACGAGCAGTTGTCTAAGCATTTCACTGCATATCGTACTGTGTATGACTGTGTACGTGACAAATAAAACTTTGAATTTACGGATGTCGAACATAGTTTCTCATCTGTAAATAATGAAGAAAAAATGTGACGCAGGGAGAGAGCTTGTTCTGCAACTGGGGAAATGACACAAATTTCCTGTTAATATCTCTCTTTATCTGATCTAAACATGAGGGTGGAAATGCATTATTACAATATATTGGAGTATGGATCAAGTTTCTGGTAGAGTGCAACCTTTTTTTTGATCTGACTAAAGATTTTAGCGAAATTCGAAGCTATAAAATTATTGACCTTGGTTCGTGTATTTGAAGATAAAAAGAGAAGAGCTGGAATGGAACTATTATCAACCCCACCACTCTCTATGACCACCCAAGGGAGGGTATTAGCAGACTTGACCTTTTTGTACCATTCCTGCCAATAAGCAAACGTTTTGGCATTTGATTTGATATACCTTTATTAGTCCCACAAGGGAAAATTTCATAAGGCTGCCGACCTATTGCACGCAATGGTGGCGCCATCTTACCCTCTGACCATACATACATTACACAAACATCACATGGGGTAGAGAGGTGAGAGAGGTATCACAATGGAAAATGCACCACATGAGGAAAGATAAGGAGAAAAAATAACTCCCCCCAGACTGAGCTCCAACAGGGAGATCAGTTTGAGAACAGAAAAAAACACCTCTGCACATAGCACATGAAAAACTCTTAATACACCAAAGAAACACATGACAAGCAACAGGGTGGGTAAAGGGTGCAGCATCAGAAGGGAATAAGCATCGAAGGCATTTGGAAAGGGAGGGGGGATGAGTGTGTGCATATCAGTGTATGTGTGTGGGTGTCCAGAGTTCAGCTGAGACAGTGTCCTTCACCCTGCCAGGCTAAGTAAACAGTCTTCCAGCCAACCCAGGTGGCCTTGCATGGAATGGGAAGGAACAGACTAAACACAGTCGTTATCAGGGTGTTGTTGTTCAGCTCCAGCCTTGCAGCTGGCGCCAAAGGGGGTATCTGCATAAGTGATGGTATTTTTTACTTTAGTGTGAACAGCTCATATGAATTTCAAAGCAGTTCTACAGTCCAACACTGGTCTCTCAATCTCCCGTTGGAGAGCCGCGAGCTTCGCCATACTTGCGTTCTGTGATGTTGTCATTTCTTGTGCTCAAGGAGCCGATTTCTGAGAACTCACGGCAGTGTGCCTCCCCGAGATGTCATCCAATTTGCGCCCAGAGATGTTATTCCGGGCTAGCCCTTCTGAGATGTATCCAGTCTGCAGTCAGCGATCTTATTCTGAATATTCAAAGCAGCCGTAGCCTCTCCAAGATCTTATCCGTGCTGACTCAATGAGCCCATTTTGAGAAACTCACGCCTCTTCCCATCGTTTTAATCCCAGCGGGCAGCCTTGTGGGGGTTTGAACAGCCGGTTCCACTTTCTTAATTCTTCGATAAGTCAGGTCCAAGCCAGCTCCGATCAGCAATCATGGTTCCGAATAGGTAGATATCTTCAGCACTCAGGCTCACCCAAGCCCAAACTTCTCGTTGAGAAAGGGGTGCCAATTGCATTTAGGGACCAGTTGATCAAATCCACAATTCCTCTTTTAGGTTTTAGAGAACAGACTGTGAGAGAGTGTTCCAGAGAAAAGTGCGACCGCCTTCATCAAGAGCAAGAGCAGTGCAAATTTGCAACCCAATAATAAAATAATAATAAATATAAAATAAAAATATAAAAAAAATAACAAAAATAACAAAACTGAAAATGTGGCAGACCAAATCCACCCTCATCTTTAGACTTACATAGATGAGCTTTTGATATTCTATAAGTTTTCAAGCCGCAGACAAATGATAATACCACTGAGATGATCAATTTGAAAAACTGTTTATTCAAAAAGATTTAGGGAGAGAAACCATTTTAATTGCATTGATGCGTCCCACCAAGGAACTAATAACTAATTAGAAGCATAATAACACCCAGGTATTTCACACTGTCTATAATTTTAAAAGTTAAAGTTTTCAAAAAGTCAACATCCAGGTTTGCAGTTAAAGTCACAAATTCACTCTTCTGCCAGTTAATTGTATAACCTGAGATTTCCCCAAATGACCTCACCAGGTCTAAAAGTACAGGAACAGATCGCTCAGGATTCGACAGGAACAAAATAACATCATCACCGACCTAAGACCCCGTTAGTCTTTAACAGGGTCTTAGGTCAGTGCATGTTAAAGTAAAATTCACAGGGATGGGATAACCCAAGGTTTCCCAGGATAAACTGGCCCTAAGCATCACTGCCTTCTTCTGATAGTGCATCCTGGAGTGCTATTATCCTTCTGGGAATATTTTATTTTCATAAATAAAGGCAAACAGATCTGCCTCTACCTGTATCTATGAGTTGGAGGTTCTTCCATTTGGTATCACCAATAGCAAGGCCCAAAGCAAAGTGTTGGATTCAGTGGATGGACTCTGCCACTCAGACACTTTTGGATACAAATACTGCCCACATGATCCCCTTGTACCTACATGCACTAAATAATATCTATACAGGTCTTTCACATCTCTGGGCTTCATCCTTCCCTTTATCCCTGAGGCCAAGATCTCAGTGGAAGACATGTGGAGGAGACCCAGAACGTGGGATTGTCCAGTGCTGTCAGAAGCAGAGCTGCAGATGTGGACTTGAAGGCAGTTAGAACACCTAAAGCAGATATCCCTCCCTGACTGCTATATCAGCTCAGTTGCTTTTATGTGTAGAGAAGACCAATGCGAGTCTGATGAAGGCCTCTACAAGTGTGACATCAGCGGTCATGGAGAGTCTCCATCCAGCTGGATCACTGTCACAGGTGACACACTCACCTGTCTGTGTTTCTGCAGCTTTCAACATTCACAATGTGACGACAACTTAATGACTGTGTTTGCTTTATTTTAGGGGGACACACCACCACACCTCCACCTACATCCACACCTCCACCTACATCCACACCTCCTCTTGGTTCCACCTCCATCACTCTTCCTCCATCACTCTCTCCTCCTGTTCTCTCTGTGTTGTCATCTGTTGGATCAGCCTGTGTTGCGGTTCTACTGGTGTTACTGGTTCTGCTGGTAAGACGATGTGTTCACAGTAAACCTGCAGGTGAGTCTCAGACTAATAGAATAAGGTTCACATTCATTATGATTACACAGAGACAGCACAGCAATGTACTGTAGGTACTTCCTGATCTTACATCCATGGTTTTCTTTTGCTGAATAATCTACACAGTCATTATTTCTGGACATTGTAAAATGTAGAAATGATTTTTCTAAATAATTTCCTCACATTTTTAACAATTAAATTCTGTACAGTACATTAAATACAGTAAATTGTTCTTTTTTTTAAAATAATTTCAGAAGGACAAGAAAACACTTTAGAAAATGAAGTCATTGATGACATCATATACAGTGAGATCAAAACATCACACTGTCCGCAGCAGCCAATCAGACAAAGCAGAGGTAATATTGGTCTCGTCTTCTTTTTGTTTGTTTTTGTAGTAGCTTCCGGGGTGGGGACAAGATTACTTTGGTTTTTGAAGTATATACAAATTTAAATATTCCGTAATTTCAGGAGACTGTGAAGACATGAGATAATGAATAAAGAAACAATTTTTGCCATTTCTTTGTCACAAGTGGGTACCTCCACCTGTTTTCAAAGTGTTGTAGGGGATACCATTTCCCAATCTAACCAATTGTCTTCCACTTACCCAGACACTGTGTTAACCACTCCACTAAGGAAACAAAGACATTTTGAGAAAGCTATTACTATGAAACAAATCTAAATAATGTTTTTAAATAGTTCTCAATCAACAGTTATTTTTGGAAACAAATGAGCAACATTATGACCATTTCAGCTTTTTGTAAAGTTATCAGCTAATGTTAGCTAGCTTGGTTTTAAATCCGCTTCCGTGAACTGTATGAGAGCATCACAGAGACACAAACATCCTAGATGCTAACTCACCAATACTGGAGCTCAGTGTTCTTGTACAATTTACCCCAAAACAGCCATATTACTGTACAGACTGACATTAAAATGCCCCCAAAACCTCCAACAGCACAGCCACAGTCTCAGGGATCCAGTTTTGGGATAATGAGCTGAGGTGAAGGCTAACAGACAGCTAGCAGCTACAGGCAGCTTTCCCTGCCAGTCAAAAGGCCACGCCCCTAATAATGCAAACGTTAAGCCTTAATGTAATTACAACTCTGTTGCTTGTGAAGCTCGCACACAAGAATTTCACTCAAATGTGCTGTACCAATGTACCTGCACATGTGATGTGACAATAAAAGTGATTTGATTTGATTTGGATTATAGCAGGCAAACCTTGAAATCTTTCTGGGATTTCCTTATCTGGGTGACTCAGGAGGTAGTCCACACACTACAACACGACAACCACCAAAGGGAGATCATTCTGACTCCATCCTGCAACAGTTGCAGCACTGCTACTTTTCTACTCTAGAACAGTAGAAAACCATTTCATAAGTAGAAGTAAGCCTACACATTTTAACATCACATTTGGAGCCTCAAGTGAACATTTAACATTTGTGAACATTTGACATTTATTCAATTCAGTTCTGTTGCATCTTCAAAAATTAAAAATGAAATAACTGAGACTTACAATGGAGTGTCGTTGCAAATGGTTTACTGAACCTTCTTTTCAGCGCATGTACAGAACATCAGTATCCATTTTCTACTGCCTCCTACAGGACACACTCTTCTTCCACTTCCTTACAACATTAATGTAACACAGAACCAATACTGCCTCTCCTGGCATTACCATTGTAACGACACACTCATTCTCATTCTGCTTCTTTCAGATGAATAACAGGAACTTAGGATGTAGGTATCTATGAATAATAACTATTATGCATACTCATATATTTATATAACCAACTAATTTCTTGATGCGATACCACAAGTTCAAAGCCTTTATTGTCATTGCATTTGGAAATGCAACAGAATGTGACATAACTGAACGATTAAACTTGTTTTTAAACCTTGTTTAGGAACAAAGTCGCAAACAATTATAATTGTGTGTCCACAAGAGAATTCGTACATGCACCATTTATTGGCATACATCCATTTTCTCCTGCTTCTCTTGGTCCAGACTGCAAAGATAACAAGACCTCTCTCTCTGGAGCCACCTCCTTTAACTCTTGTAAAGGAATTCCAAGCCAAGCCAACAGAAAGACAAAATCTCTCACAGAGAAATTATCTCTCCACCATGTTTTGAGTTTATTCCAAGGTCTCAAAGCCTCCAAGGGAACAGCCAACTTAGCAATGAAGATACAGAACATGGTCCAGTCAAACTTGGTGTCCCCAGCTTCTTTGAACAGAAACATCTAGGTTTGATTTCTCTAAAAGGAGGACAGATCAATTTATTTAACTGGAATAACTAAGTAATAATAAGTTACCTCAAGGGCCAGTGTTTACCCACTGGAAACATGTTGCTTAAATATGATGATATTAAGAAGGTCCGTGGTTGGGCAGCTCATGGGATTCATCAGTGTACAAATTAAAACCTCCAATTAGAATCACTTCACCCATTTTAATAATACAAGTCACAAAGTTAGGAAACCCAGTTAAAAGTGACGCTGTTGAGGTGGATGATCAATAAGCTCAAACACAATAAAACAGCTTTAAGAGGAAGAAACCTGTGGAAAATATATATTCCAGATACTAGAAAGAAGATCTGTGTTCCAGCCTCAAATAGTGCTCCAGGTGATGACAGCTGATTGTTGTCAGGTGTGTGGGCCAAGGGCGGGAGCCCACAGTGAGCTCCGCCCAGGCAGAGAGGGAGGGAGAGAGAGAGAGAGAGAGAGAGAACCAATAGCCTTGTGGGGCCGGCCGGGCAGGCATGGAGACCATGGCTGTATCTGTCACGGTATGGCATGGCACACCGTGGAAGGAGTGGGGAAGGAGGACCCAGGCGCGGTGCTCTATGTACAGTGTTTATTTACAGAGTGAAAACAACGTAACAATAAATCCCCGTGTTCTCCCAGACTCCCGTGTCGTGTCTCCCGTGAATAGTCCGTGTGCTCTCTGCTCCCGTGTCAGCACCCCCCGGTGCTCGCTGCTCTCCGTGCCTTCCACGCTCTTCCTGCGGGAAACAATAGCGCAGCTGTCAGGACACTCAGAAATGGCAGGCATACACTTTCTGACTAAACTTAGACAGGGTGACTAACGTGGAGTCTCATGCAATGATCCCGCGTCAGTGGGAGCTCCAAGACTCTCTTAAGTAGCTCCCCCGACGAGGCCCGATCAGCAGCAGGTGTGTGGCTTCGGGTGTGGCCAGTCCCCTTGCAGGGCCACACCCTCCAGGCCTGACGCCGCCTATAAACAAGTGCTCAGCCACCCACACATACATATACACAAGCACAGGGAAGGGGGAGCAACACCAAAATACACAACAATAATAATAATAATAATATAATACATGACTGCTCATGGATCCTGGGTCGCCCAGTCCCAGGACCCTGACAGTATCCCAATTCAGGGTCTGCAGCCTTAAAGTACGCAGCCCCAACGATCCTCAAGGGCCGCGTACTTGAGGATCGCTAAGGCCGGAAGTGCGAGGCTTGTGTAATGGGACGGTCTAGCCTCCGTTGCGCTGCCCAGGTTGCCTAGCAACCATGATACTAACAGCTGGAAACGTGTCATACAGCTTTGTTTGACAGAAATGAAGGAGAAAATCTTTTGTTCATTTCTTTCTTTGTTGCTACATGAGCTTTGATCATTCTCTGCAGGATTAAGCTCAGCGATTGAACGGCGTATATTTTAAAGTAAAGGCTTTAAAACCAAGTTAGTACAAACGTCACTAATGTCACATAATTTTGCCGACATGTGGCCAACAGTAATGTTTTAATGTTCTTCGTTATTAAATATTTGCACATGAATAAGTGACATAATATTCAGTACTTACTTAAAGTTTACTCTTCGGCCGCCCCTCATCCACCATTTTTTTTTCCGGTAAAATCATCCACACCCACCGCCGCACTATGCATTCTGGGATATGTTGGGCCACGAAGTCTACACTGCCACAGCCTTAAAATTCAGGGAAATGAAAGACGCATTTCAGGGCCGCATTTCGAGCAGCCTTTGAATTGGGACAGCCTTCGGCGCGCCGCTGTGACGCAATCGGCCTTGAAATGCGTACTTTAAGGCTGCAGACCCTGAATTGGGATACAGCCCATGACACATGGCCTGACATGTAAGGAGTTCCAGTTTACATTCACCAGCCACTTTTGTGCAGCTTACTAGTATGTGGTTGGACAAAAGTTTTTATTTATTCTAAATAACGTTATTTGAATGTGTCACTGTTACAGGTAACAGGAAGCATCCATGGACAACTATACATGTGTCCGTAGGAGATGCAGCTTGTTGTTGCTGAATGAGCCGTCGTTATTCATTCCACTTCATACTTTATGACAGATATGTCAGATCATTACATGTTCTCTCGTCACATAGACAACTGCTATAATAATAAATCTACAATGTTCCAAAAGAGTGGTGTAATCAGCACTACCTTGACTTGTGACTAGTGATCGTATATCTTAAATGCCAAAATGAATGACACCCCTCCCCCCAAAAATAACAGCTTATTTGGTTTCATCATTTTCACTTTAAACTTCTGCATGACAGTCCACGCTTTAATGATTCCAATTATCTATAGGAAGCCTTCTTTAGTTTGATGAAGAATACTCAGCTTGTTGTTAGAATACGTTTGCTTTGTGCTCTGTGGTGAAATGTGTCACTTTGCACTGAGAGAAAATGGCAGCTTTGTGGTTGCTCACCTTCAGTTTTCACACAAACATCACGCAGATCGTTGTCATCTGTTAGCGTTTCTCTGCAGAGGTGTTAAGAAGTTGAGAAAAACTGTGAAAAGCTTCTGATGTTTGTAAAGGTTGGGACTTATTTTCTTCATAAACAAGTATAAATAACATTTTGCTATAGCAACTATTTAATACTATTCCATTACTACTACTATTGTATCTGCAGCAACTAGGAAGGCGCCACTTATGGACAAACACACATCAGATCAAAGAGGCCCAGAAGTACGGCTGCTCTTTAACTTTGAACAGTGCTGAATGTTAGTTGGTAGCTAAGCCAGCCTGACTCAAGCTCAGGATATTAAACTTCTAATCTCAGAAAGAAACCTTCCCAACACTATCTTTATCTGCACACAGGTTCTTATCTATATAGCACCAAATCACAACAACAGTCGCCTCAAGGCGCTTTATATTGTAAGGTAGACCCTACAATTATACATACAGAGAAAAATAGAAAAGCAAGCAGTGGGAAGGAAAAACTCCCTTTTAACAGGAAGAAACCTCCGGCAGAACCAGGCTCAGGGAGGGGCGGCCATCTGCTGCGACCAGTTGGGGTGAGAGAAGGAAGACAGGATAAAGACATGCTGTGGAAGAGAGACAGAGGTTAATAACAGATATGATTCAATGCAGAGAGGTCTGTTAACACATAGTGAGTGAGAAAGGTGACTGGAAAGGAAAAACTTGATGCATCATACGAATCTCCCAGCAGCCTACATCTATTGCAGCATAACTACGGGGGAATTCAAGGTCACCTGGTCCAGCCCTAACTATATGCTTTAGCAAAAAGGAAAGTTTTAAGCCTAACCTTAAAAATAGAGATGCTGTCTGTGTCTTGAATCCAAACTGGAAGCTGGTTCCACTGAAGAGGGGCCTGAAAACTGAAGGCTCTGCCTCCCATTCTACTTTTAAATACTCTAGGAACAACAAGTAGGCCTGCAGAGCGAGAGCAAAGTGCTCTAACTGGGTTATGTGGTACTATAAGGTCATTAAGATAAGACGGGACCAGATCATTCTAGACCTTGACTGTGAGGAGCAGGATTTTGAATTACATTTTGCATTTAACCTCAATGGATGTGTCTATGAAGGGCCAAAAGGCTTTTTTCTTGGGGCCAGCACTGGCTTGCCTCCTCCTGTGAGAATGCCCACAATCCCTTTGGATGTCCCAACATATCCACCCTTTTACAAAGGTCTTGGCTGTCTTCACACTCACTGGCCAGTGGCAGTCCATCGACTCCACCTTTCTAATTAGAAGCCACAGTACCACCTGCTCCAGGATCTAACTGTAGCATGTCCGTTCCTTCCTCAGCCATTCCCGTTTGCAGCTCCCTGATTGCTACATTCTTCATCTTTTGTTTGTAGGAGAAGGGTCACTTCCCCACTTTCAGACAAGAGCTGCAAAGGTGGTGACAGTAGTTCTTGAGAATAGCTAAAGTGATCCAGCACAGCATTATGGACTTCCAAAAGATACTGACAGTAGGCTGAGCACTGGTATCTGGGCCTCCCGAGACAGCAGAGGAAGTAACCACACCGCCCATTGTGCTTCCAGACATTTACATGCCACTTGCATGGCCTCAAACAAGCCTAGAAATCACTGTAGGTAATCTGCAGGGATACAATGTGCTACTGCCTACTCTTGATGCTCTGCCGTGATTTCGGCCAGGGCTTGCACTGGCTGAACAGCCTCAGTCCAACCTAGTTCTGTGTGTTGGGTGAAGTTGGGCACCACTGTAGTACTATGTTGCTAGCGTGAATTCCAGACACAAAGTCAGAGTTCATGTGTTTTATTTTTATGTTGCCACAGTTTATAGCAATTGTCTTTTCAGACATTAACTTGATTAGTTCAGCAACATTTCAGCGTACTCCAACACACACACACATTAAAAAAAACAGTTATTAGCAAACAATGAAGATATTTCGTGCATCACAAGTAGCCGTACGTTTAAGTGTGAATGCACTTGTACACTCAAAACGGCAGGTGTAAGTGGAAATAAATAATTTGGGATTGGCATGGTCTTGATTTTGTAGCCATGGTTCTGAGTTGAACTTGTGAATTTTTGATTATTATTGAGTCAGTATTTAAATGTTTGTTTATGATTTACATTTATATCTTCATGCATTTCCTTAGTATTTTGAGTCTTTAGTCCTTAGTTTTAGTTATTGATCATATTAGTTTATTATTTCTCTCAGTATTTTCTGTTGCTTTCCTTAGGCTCCCTGTTGTTTAAACTGTGTGTGTGTGTGTGTGTCTTTGTACTCAGACTTTAACCGAGAGCCCAACGTTGTCTACTCTTCAATGAAGTAGTCCACGGGTCCAACCGCTGGTGTCTAACTGGTCCCCCCAGCACCACAGACACAGGATATGTACATGCTAAATAGATTTGTATGCAGATTTGTGTGTATTTTGCGTAATGTCTTATCTTTTATCTGCGTTTTTAAAGTGTATTTTGCTGCAAAATCAACAGTATGGTTACAAATGTTTTTAAGTCCTCAGTAAGATCACTGTTATTTATATTTTATTCATGTTTGTTACATCTTGATCTTGTTGCTGAAGTAGCAATTTAGTTCCTCTACAAGATTAATAAATGTTTGTTCTCACTTGTTTTCCATGTGTGTTTCTGTGGGTTTTGCTGAGGTATCAGATGGAAAATCTGACTTGAGTTTGCTTTGGCTAACTGACACACCTCTATTCAGTGCAGAAAAGTGTGAGACTAAAGACAGCAGAAGTGTCACTCGGTAGTTTCAAATGACACTGAAAAGCTTCAGTGTGTTTGATACTGATATCTGACATTTTGCAGCTGTACTTTGAAAATATGTTGGTATAGATGTGACCCGTGGGAAGTACTACTTAATTAGTAAATGAGCCTCAGCAGGGCTGGACTGGGACAAAAAATCGGCCCGGGCATTTTGACTAGAGACCGGCCCACCAAAAATGTGACGTCATTCAGGGGTAAGACCGCAAAGGATTCTGGGAACTTGTGGCAAGAGGTACTAGCGCATGCAGGCTTTCAATTGAACTCAGTTACACAGCGATAAAAAGAAACACAAAAAATGGCAAGAAGCTGTTGTATTATTAACTGCAATAGCCGGTGTTGTGCCAAAAAGTGATTGTCTGCCAAAAACTGATTGCTCGTATTTAAATTGCTATAAGTAACTTGTTGGGCTATAATATGTGAAACACATGTCAAATGCATCCCTCATGGATGACATAAAGTCATCTCTCCATCTCTCTCTGCTGCTCTCCTGTCTCCTCTGTCACAGACTTCTCCACTTTAGATGATAAATCAGCCTGGTGCAACATGTAAGGATTGGCACAATTTGTTAAGATTTTGAGGAGTTTGAGAAACTAACCTTAAGCATAAAATAAAATTTACTATCAGTAACTTCATAGCACCCGCCCAGCAGTATATAAACTCCGTCATGCTAGCTAGTACGCAGTACCAGTTATTCTAAGCGCCTGTAAAAAGTCAGCACAACGAAAACAAACTACAACTAAACTTGGTTTATATCTGACACAGACAGCAGGTCATAACTTCTTACCTGAAGTTCAGTTCCTCTGCCACTATGACCGGCCGCCTCGGGTCTCTCCTCCTCTTGCCTCCCCTTTCCCTTATCCACCTGCTGGCCTCCACCACTTGCTGATGTTGCTAAATCTGTGGAAGCTATGCCATAGCTACCGCCAAACAATTCACTTATTTTTACACATTTGGCAGCGTCTGCCTGAAGGGCTTGTTTCTTTTTGGCCCTAATCTTTTCTGCACCTCCTTTCCTGTTTTTGTTCTCCATTTTCTTTAGTTCATCTATAAGATTGCTAAACAAGGGGGAGGGTGCATCTGACCTCCTAGGCTGTAATTGGTCCAGCCCAGAGTCGATCATGACCAATTGGCCAATCCAACACCTTTCATTATTTATACCCTTCCAAAAAAAAAAATCGATCAGCCCGTAGAAACAAAAAATCGCCAGCGGCCCACCGGGCAAATGCCCGGTATGCCCGATGCCCAGTCCAGCTATGAGCCTCAGGAATATAGTCAGTTGGGGGTTGCAGAGAGGTGTGAAGAGCTCTGGTGGATGGGGAGGGAAGGGCTTCTGAATCAAACCTGTTAAACTGTTTTAATTTGGTCTACTTTCCTGGTCAATACAGTGTTATCCACACAGAAGCTGATATAGTCTGTTATGCAGGTTGTTAGGCTGGTTGGATGGGGGAGTGGCGTGTGCCTGGCGGCACTCTCGATGGAGACACTGAAGACAAGATACTTCAAACAGATCGTGAGAGCAGCTGAGAAGATCATTGGAGCTCCTCTTCCCTCCATCACGGATACTTATAGCACCTGTTTCATCGGCAAAGCCACCAGTATTGTGGAGGACCCCACACACAGTTTCTTCCCCCAAGCCGTCAGATTCCTGAACACTCAGTGACTGGAATGACACACACACTCGCACACCTCCATACTCATGACGACCAAGCACTTAACTGCAGTCTCTCACTCTCATACACACACACACAGGGAGAGAGAGAGACTAAGTTACTTTTTCACAATACTCAGCATTTTGCACATATCCATTGCATCTTGTGATTCTATCATCCTGTTCCATCTAGTGTTGCTGTGGACGGGCTGTGAGTACTCAGACTGCTACAGAACGCAACATGGAGGCCTGTTGACTTTTTCTTAAAAGTGGGTGAAATGACACTCTCTTCAGTTGACACAGGATACACACACACACACACACACACACACACACACACACACACACACACACACACACCCTCCTACCCCTCTCAAAACACCTCCAATGCACATCCTTTATATGTTGTAAGGTGTGAAGATTCACGTGCTCTCTGTGCTGAGGTGTTTTGTTTTTCTCTGTTCTCAAACTGTTCTCATGTGACAAATAAAGGCTTATTCGTTCATTATTCATTAATTTATAATCACCCATAAAGGAAAATGAATGTTTTTGTCTGTTTTTGTAATGTTTAGATGAATTAACCTTTGGTTCAATCAAACTGAAGTCAACACTGTGTTGGAAAATTGATCAGCTCTTCTTTAGTTTATTAAAGTTATTACAACCTGATCTGGAAATCCAAAACAGTCATAGCTCAGTCATACTCGACCAGCATACCGTGTCACTATCTGTAGTCTGCGGTTCAGGTCTGTTCATGTGTCTCTGCACAGCTGTAATTAAAATGTGTTCAGAGGGCCTCAGTGTCTGAATGGTTCCAGTTCAGCTCCATAACAGCAGCGTCCCTGGTTTGATTCCTGTGTTTCAGCTCATATCTGCCTCTCTCACTGAGGGGGACGTAACTACATGGACATGGATTTGTTCATCAACCAAACTACAGATCACTGAGAGCAGAAAGGACTTCATTCTCTTTCCTTTTTGAAATTCTTCATTTTCATTTATGTGAAATAATGAATGATAGAGAGCATCACTGATATTAAATATAATCAGACTGTGTGAAAACATTTCTTATGTATATATGTTTTGCTTTATAGACAACAGTGGATTTTCTGTATACACTTATGTTTTCCTGGTCTTTGTTTGCATAGAAGCTTTAAGCCACTATCTTTTAATTTCAGGGTTTTTTACACAAAGGAAAATGTTTGTGTTGTACTTCAGTGTTTGAACCAATAGAAAGCTGGTGCTCAGAGGAAGAGGGCGGGCTTTACTTGGTGACGGTGACAGAAATGAAAAAAAGCTCAAATGAGTGAGAAGGACGATGAAGGAAACATCTGTGCTGTGTCTGCTCTGTAAGTAGAATCTCTGTGTTTGTTTGAATTCTTGTACTTTGACTGTCTGCTCTCCTGATAACTGATGATGGAGGAGAAGACATGAAAAACAAATCAGGCTGAATTCAAGTTAAGGAAATAAGGATAAGCTGCATTTGTCGGTTGCAGCTGCCTGCAGCTGAGATGACAGACCTAGTCAACCATACATACAATATACAAACAGTGGGGAGCAAGGCTGGACTGGGACAAAAAATCGGCCGGGGCATTTTGACTAGAGACCGGCCCACCAGGATAAAGATTGAAAATGTGACGTCATTCAGGGATAAAACCGCAAAGGATTCTGGGAACTTGTGGCAAGAGGTACTAGCGCACGCAGGCTTTCAATTGAACTCAGTTACACAGCGATAAAAAGAAACCCAAAAAATGCCAAGAAGCTGTTGTATTATTAACTGCAATAGTCGGTCGCATGACAGCCACGGGAAGCCGACGGGTAAAGAGATCGTTTTTTTTTTTTTATCGGATTACGTCGTTGAAGTGAAATTTTTTAAGCCATGTTTCCGAAGTAAGAGCCGACGGATGGTCTGGATATACCAAATATAACGTCCCAGAACTCTCCAGCTCACATGTTAGTCTGCTCCAAGCATTCCCACAAAGGTCAGAGTTTTGTAGTAGTTAATACGTCATTTTTCTTAACATAATTGGTGATATAGGTTACAAGCAAGTCTGGCGCTGAACAGAAATTGTCGCGCTATGCTCCTTTGTTTATTGTGCATAAATAGTGAATTGTCCTGACACAATATTGCGTTTCGCTTCTGTTATTACCATGGTACACTGACAAAACCATATACTTTTATTCACAGGATAAAACAGTTGTTTTGTATCACTAATTGTCCATTGCGATTACCACATACAATATTATTGTCACTGCTACATTTCTGTAATGCTACTGTAACCGGTTTCTGCTTCATCCCGCTGCAACAGTTCGGCCCAAACAGACTCCTCGACTCTGCGTTGTGTAGTGTTTTTAAAAAGACAAGGAGTCTCTGATCGATCGTTGCCACTTTATTTCCTGAATGGAAACAACGGTGTATTATCAGTGCACAGGCTCGCCATACACCACTCCGCACAGCACACTCTCGTATGGCTACGGCAGACTGGCAGCGATTACTGCAGCAATATTACAATTTCTAATATACAATAAAATAACAGCAACAACAAATGATGTACCTGAATGGAAACAACGGTGTATTATCAGTGCACAGGCTCGCCACACACCACTCCGCACAGCACACTACGGCAGAACATCTCATTAGCATTCCGCTTTAGCGTACAGTTTCACACATTAATAAACAAATGAAAAGTACATAAAACTGGTGTTGGACATGTGTCCACTAAGCACTTATTACACTCGGTGCCCGTCAGCTAATCAAACATGTTTTATGTGTCTGTACTACTTAGCTATATTGTGTGCGGAACAATACAACTCACCTCTCGTATGGCTACGGCAGACTGGCAGCGATTACTGCAGCCAGCCACACCGAGAGGGGGGGCGCTGTTTCCCCATTACACTGATATTTGTGGCAAGTGGAATAATACCACATAAACACTGTTACACTACCAGAAATTATTTCCACTACTAATTAATTACCGTTGAGCTCAAAGGTCCTATTAATAAACTGTTAATGAATGTGTATTTATGAAGACGATTTGTGAGACTGGTAAACTTATGATACGTACAATAGTCTTTCGTTCTACATGGTGCATTTCAAGGTCCTGCACCCATCCGTCGGTAAACTGTACCTGGGCTTGTTGCAGTGACCTGAAGTTACTAAACTTCATGAGTGTATGCACT